AAATATTAAAGTTTTACTAAAGTAAGTTTGAATTTGCTTGCTTTGTTTATTTGCCACTTCAAATTCTCTCTAAAGGTAGATGCAGTATAAATTATGATACAGAGATTATAGAACTAGGTGTCCTTCGGGAGAATAATCCCCTTATTTGGTTTCATGAAGAAGACATAGTCATTTTTTCTTTTTTTAAAATTATCGTACTTTAGATAAAGGGTTACAGATCAAACTAGTTTCTCATTAAACAGCACACATAGTTTTGTGACATTGGTTACCAACCCCATGACACGTCAGTACTCTCTGTTCTTGACCTTGGGTTCCCTATTACCAGCTTTCCTGTCCCATCCTGCCTCCTAGTCCTTGCCTCTGGACTGGTGTGCCCCTTTAGTCTGGTTTTGTTTTATGGGCCTGTCTAATCTTTGGCTGAAGGGTGAACCTCAGGAGCGACTTCATTACTGAGAGACATAGTCACTTTCGATTTCAAGTTTTCTCATTATCTGGCTCTGTCCCAAAATCACGCTAAGAATTTGGGTGTGAAAAACACCTGCAACTTGTTTTACAATGCGTGTCTGAAGGACCTAATCTCAAGTGTATATCAAAATGGCTGGTTCCAACTTCATCGCTCTAGCCTCTTCATACATGAGTTAACTATCATTATTTCTACCTCCTGGGGAAACCTGGTGGCACAGTGGTTAAACGTTCGGCTGCTAACCAAAAGGTTGGTAGTTTGAATCCACCAGCCGCTCCTGGGAAGCCCTATGGGGCAGTTCTACTCTGTCCTATAGGGTTGCTATGAACTGGAATCGACTTGATGGCAACGGGTTTGGTTTTATTTTTAGGGTGACTACAAGAAAAAGTTGTAAGTTAACATGCTCATGGGAGAAAACACTATCATTTCTTTGACTTAAATTTATTTCTAGAAATTGAAAAAATGTGAGGCTTTTTAAAGCAAGGACAATTCCATTATGTCTACCTAACATGAACCAGAGATTTATCAGTATTCAGTTAGTAATTGATAATGTTTGAATTAAGAAATTTTCTTGTGAGTAGAGACCTCCACTCTTGCTTTGGTTCCCAACACTTAATTGTATTCAGCTTCCTAGCACTTAACTAGCATTTTACCCCAGATTGGAGGGCACAGTTTTTTCCAGTTCTCTTTTCCCTCTCTGAATTATCCCTTTTTGTCTTTTATAAGCTCTCCATTCTCCTCCTTTCTCTTCATTTGCCATCTGCCTACAAAAATCTGTGTTTGCAAAAGCTCGGCTCGGACCCTCCTTCTTTGATTAATCACACTCATTGGAACGCCTTTTGTATTTGGAGACATTATGACATTTTAGCATTTGAATTATTTTCTGATTTTTATCATATATGCTTTTCTTTCTCAAATTTTCAGCTCTTGAGAAGAAATATCAGTTCTTGGATTGTCTTTGTATTTCTGCCCTTATTAATTGATTGATAAAGCAGGTGTCAAAACATAGCTTTCTGGTGCTGTCTGAATTGGCTTAAGCCACTGCAGCAACTGAACACCAAATTTCCTCTTTGTGTTGCACTGTTGATAGAGCTTTGGTATTGGATTTTTGATAAGATGTGCGGCTGTGAAATTGTGATTATGATGCAAGCAAACATGTAATGCCCTGAGTATTTTTGAATTTATCAATGGGTTTTTGAGGGAAAATTGTTTTAGAAAGACAACTATGCCTAACATGCTTTTCAAAGCTGCAAATAATTTAATTGCTAATCATTCCACTAAATAAATATCTGTGTTCAAACATAATCTGACCAGCCTCTTTGTAAATGAGGCACAGTAACAAGACGAAAATAAAACAATGCACCAGATTTTGATTGGCCAGAATGCATTTATGTGGCCTGGTTTCAAGCAAGTAATGCTCTGAGTTTTAACTATCTTAAACTGATACTTTCATATTCAAAGATATAACCATTTCTATAACCCCAAAAGCTTTCATGAGGTTGTATTTGCTAGGAGGGATAGAAACATAATAAAGATAGCTGAAAGAAACAAAGAAAACTGAACATTCTGAGATTCCATACAACAAATTCTTTTAATTATGCATACCTTTCATGTGATTTATTC